ATGGGGCCACTGGGGCTGAAGGAAAAACCAAGGGAAGACTGTGGAGATTTTGAAAGATGTGGAAAGAACACCAGACTGGCTGGAAATCTGAGCCTCTGGATCCTTGTTCCAGCTGTACCCTAACTTGAGTGCAAACCTGCGCAAGCCAAATACTTGCAGGCCTATCTTCTTTCATCTATAAAATGAGAGATTGGACCCCCAAGATCTCTTCCAGTTGTGAGATTTTGTGGTCTGCATACCACCCCGAAGGAGAACTCTTGGGAGGAAAAACAATGACAAAGGCCAGAGTAAAGAGATAGAATGCAGGGGATGGGCAGGACAATGGAGATGACAGCTTTGCAGGGAGGGGGGTGTGGCTTATATTTAAACCACAGGCACACGGAGCTCCACTGGAGGCTCAACAGACTGTTAGGGGCACGAAGGAAAATCCAACTAGAGACTGGTGTGTGAAACTAGGGGTGTGCTAGGAATACAATATGCAGAAGAGGTCGAAGGGAGATTTCCAACAAGAAGGCACACCACAGGGACCAGGGATCCAGGAGCATTTCTTTATTCCTTCAAAAATAATTATTGAAAAGGGAATATTTTAGGGGAGATTCAAAGAGGCAGGCTAGCATTTAGCATGAGGGAAGTCTGTGATGGGTACTGAACTGGGGGTACTGATATGTGTAAGGGGTGTCCCCACTTTGAAAGACTGCAAAAACCAAGCTGAGATCCCTCAACCATTCATTTCACAAACTCTTGTTGAACAATGACCTGTTATAGGCACTGGAGATAAAGAACAATTTCTGTTCTGGAGCTTAAGTTCTCTCTCTTTTTTTTTTTAAGGTTTTATTTATTTATTTGGCAGAGAGATACAGAGAGAGAACAAGTAGGCAGAGAGGCAGGCAGAGGGAGAGGGAGAAGCAGGCTCCCCGCCGAGCAGGGAGCCCGATGCGGGGCTTGATCCCAGGATCCTGGGATTATGACCTAAGCCAAAGGCAACCGCTTAACCGACTGAGCCACCCAGGCGCCCCGGAGCTTAAGTTCTAGTAAGGAAAGAAAATAAATAAGGTAAATAAAATGCATAGCATGCTAGTTAGTGATAAATGCTAATAAGAAAAACACCAGGGAAGGACAACAGGATTGGATGCAAAGGGGAGGAGGCTGTAATTCTAAAAGCTTGGTAAATGAGAAGATGACATCTGAATCAGGAGGGGCAGGAATGAGCAGCATGGATAGAGGGTACTGGACAGTGTTTCCGAAAAGGAACAGCAAGCAGAACAAGGAACCTCAATTGGGCTTCAAGGAGGCCAGTGGTGCTGAAGGGAAGAGGAACAAGGGGAGAGTAGTTCAAAGTATGTTCTGGGCTCTGGGAGAGGGCAGGAGGGAGCCCAGCTTATTCTGGAGTTCCCTTGGTTCACCTCCCTTCCTTCTCTCAGCATTTAGGGGACATCTCTGTGCCTCAAGCTGCAGATACTGTAGTGGATAAGACATTGCGTTCCAGTTGTCAGAACCAGAATAGAAGGTCAGGGTCCAGCTGGAAGCAAGGATAGATGATCTTGCACTGAGTAGAGCTAGACCAGGCCTCAGATCCCTGTCTTCAGACAACACCAATCTTTAAGCCAGTATGGCTCAAGGCTACTGGTGGGTCTCCATGGAGGGCAAAAGAGAACCACAGAGAAGAAACTAGGGATGCCAGGGCATTGAACTTAAAATATATATAATTGTACTAGGAAAAACTACACATGATTTGAAATTTCAAACAGAATAAAAAGTACCCTAGGCTTCTAAGCTGCTGAGATCTTTAGACATCACAGTCCAACCTCTTCATTTTACAGGGAAAACTCAAGAGACGTGATTTATTAAAGCGACACAGGGGAGAAGCAGCTCTCCAGCCTGTCCGGCCTCTGCTCGCTCACTCTTTTTCTTCTTTTCCTTCCTTCCTTCCTCTCTCTCTCTCTCTCTCTCTCTCACTGTCTTTTTTAACTTGATGAAACAAGGACTCAAAAAATTGGCTTAAGACTCAAAGTTGTTCCTTTCCACGGAAATCTTTAGTAAAAGGCAAAATACTTCTATGATCTGAAGAGAAACCAAGAGTATCCAGTGCACTTTCTATCACAAAAAAAAATCTTTTTTTACTCTCACTAAAAGTTTCAGAATAAGGTTATAGAGAAAGGAAAGCAGTATTTTTTAAGTTGTCTTTTAAGTTCACTTGAACTCAGTGTGAAATAGAAATTGGGCTAACTCACAGCAAAAACTTCAGAGCCAGAGTTCAGTCCCTGCAGAATCAATCACATGGGGAGGAGATTCCTGGTAGGGTGAACAGTGACAGGTACTACTGAAAATGCAGAGAGCGTGGGAGAAACTCCCAAAACGTTAGTCCTTGACACACCAATGTCTTCCCTTTGGCTGGTGACCCCAAATGAGTAGATGTGAAATCTTTTAACATCATAATGGAGATGTTGTACCCCAATTTTCAGTCACAAATCTTGAGTTATGTAACACGTAATGCAGATAATTGAACTTCAGTGTAACATTCATGTGGGTTCAGCCAAACTAAGCTCTTTTCTAAAGGAAAAAAAATGAAACATGGTTAGGAATAAAAAGCACACGAAAGCAGAAAAACATTATACCAAACTTTTGAAGTAAATCTCCAGAGAAAACATTATTAAGAACATATGATAATTAAAATTTAAAAATTGATGAATTAAATATATAGGAAAGAATCCATAGTCTCAAAATAAGAAAACCAGAACTCATTCACGTGTCAAAGTCTTTATCTTGCAGAAGATCTTAAATTTTGGATGCAGCAAATTATACAGTCTCTTGAAAAACAATTAAGAATTCAAGTTCATAGCACTAGCTTCCACCCACCCCCACCAAGGAAATTTTCTATTGATTTGTAACTTGGCCTTGAATTTGACCTGTGGCCTTCATGTCATGATAATTTGGGTCACTCTGAATATGCCATCTCTTGAACAAGGGCCTCTGCTAATTTTAAATGAATGCAGCTGCCAATTTGCCATTCTTTTTTTTGCATCACAATATGTGGGAATAAATTCACAATTAATAAAACATATCCAGGAAGCAGTCAGGCTGAGGAAATGAAGGACATTTATCTAGTAAGTTTAAAAAGAGATGTTTCATTTTTGCCTTTTTGGATATAAAAAAAGGGAAAGAAAACAGTTTATGCCTTTGAGGGCTTTGACAGAGGCCAGAATTGTTCCCTGGGCTACAGCATCTAGAAAAGCCATGCAACTCAAATTAGATTTTAGTTAAAAAGAAAAAAAAAAAGAAAGAAAGAAAGAATAAATGTAGACGTTTGTAGCAGTTTTTTCTTTCTTTCTTTCTTTTTCTTTCTCTTTCTTTCTCCTTCCTTCCTTCTTTCCTTTTTTCTTCCCTCCCTTCCTCCTTTCCCTCCCCTTCTTCCTCTCCTCTCTGTCTGTCTCTCTCCCTCCCTCCTTTCCTTTCTTCATTTCTTTCTCTTTGGTTCAATGTAAATGAATACCTCTCAAGTTTGATTCACAAGGGAGGGCTTGCATTTGATATTATGATTATGAATATTGATTATAATCACCCTTGGTGATTAAGCCCTTAGGGCCTTTAAAACATTTTGCATCTGAAGCTGCGTTAATTAATAATATACCGTCCTAATATGGGAAGACAAGGGTCCTACTGGGGTGTAGACTAGGAAAGTGAGGAGTGTGGAAGCTGTGTCAGTAAGAGAAACAAGTGAAGGAACTTGAAACAGAAGGAACTGGGGGAGATGGAGGAGGAGTTAGGCAAGTCTCAGCTGATGGGTTTTTGAGCTTGCTGTTTTCACTGTGTAGAATGTTCCTTCCCCTACTTTCCACCTGTTGAAATTCTCCTAATTCTGTAAGGGCAGATTGGATAATCATCTACTGTGAGAAGTATCTAGATCCTCTTAGCTAGGGACCATCTCCCTACTCCGAACCTCCGTAGCACTTGCTGCTACGTCTATTTTAATTCTACTGATAGTCCAGCTTATCTAGATCAGGTTGGTCAGGGCCTTGAATGCTACACTAAGTGGTTTAAGGAAGCCATTAAATTTTTGAGGATGGGCATGATTTAGAGTTCAAAGGCAGACTAATAAGGCATTTCTGGTGTAAACAGAAGGTAAAGGGTACATGAGACTATGTTCTCTCTCTCTCTTTTAAAAGCATATTACTGTGCGCCAGGTATTATGCATGGTTACTCCACTTTATAAACGGGGAAGCCAGGTTACTCTCCTACACGTGGTGACCAGACAGCTTCCACGTCCTCACCACCTGCTTTACCGTCCTGTAAATCTGAGGATAATTGCTCCACTGAAATCGTGTTTTGAAGGCTCAGGAATGACCTGCTACCTGCCATGTCTATGGACTTGGACTTGTCTCCACAGTTCTGAGTCCATGATCTTCCCGAGACATTTTCTTCTCACAACTCACGAACTGACTGCATTTTCCTCTCTTATTGTTTAAAATTTGGGATGCATTTTACCGCGTGAGCTTAACGAAGCTTAATTAGTTAAGGGTGGCTATGGGTGGAGATTTCAAGAGATTCTAAAGGGTATTTTCGAGCGCTTTAGACTTGAAAGGCGGGTGACAATAGTTCTAAAGAGAACGGTCAAAGCCTGCAGATTTTTCTTTTAACAGCTCTATTCTCATCCTTGCTCGCCAGGGCTAGGGGGCAACTCTTCTGTTGTTTGTTTATGAAAGAAATCAAGAAAGGGACCGAGGCTCGTCTCTTTTTTGACCTAAGGGCAACAGTGAGGGGCCGGGCGGATTAGGTGCGGCTCCCCCTAGGCGCGCCCACAGCCCAGCCCGGGCCCAGAACCACCCCCTTCGCCAAGGGGCGGGGCGCGCCGGGCGGCCACGCGCGCGGGCGGCGGAGTGGGCGTGTCTCGCGGGCGCGCGCGGGCGGTGGAGGGGGCGTGTCCCGCGGGCGGCGGCGGCGGCGCGGGCTGGGTGCGCGGCGCAGCCTCCTGTGCTGGAATGTGCGGCTCCCGCGAGCTCGCGGCGCCTCAGCAGAGCAAGCGCCGCCGAGGCCCCGGGCCACAGACCCCGGCGGCGGCGGCGGCGGCGGTGGCCGGGACGGCAGGGCGAGAGCCGACGGCCTGAGCACTCTCTGCACTCCCACTCCTGGGCCTTCGCGGGCCTCGACGTCCCCAGCGCCCAACTTTTCCATCCTCCCCCTCCCCTCCCCCCGAAACTCCAGCAACAAAGAAAAGTAGTCGGAGAAGGAGCGGCGACGCCGTGTCTCCCGCCCCTCCTCGCCTAGGAAGGCCGGTAAGCGCGGCGCAGGGCTGGGGGCTCGGTCGAGGTGGGGGAGGGCCGGCCGGGCGGCGGCGGCGGCTGCGGCAGTGGCAGGGGGAGGGCGCGGAAGGACGCGGAGCGAGGCGCTGTCCAGGGCTGATTTGCAGATACTGTGGCTCCGGCGGCGGCCGCAGCGCGGGGCGGAGGCGGGCGGCCGAGCGGGATCGGGTTACACCGGCGCGGCCCGGGGGCTGGGCCGGGGGCGTCCTTGGGGAGAGGCTTGGAGCCAGGACCCCCTACCCAGTCGAGGCCGGGCCGCCGCCTCCGCGCGGGCCCGGGCGCCCTTCGAGTCGGGTCCTGAGGAGCGGAGCTGCTTGCGGCCTTGGTCCTGAAACTTCCTCCCCGTCCTCCTGCTCCCAGGTCCCGCCGCAGCCCCTCGTCGGCCCGCGGCCCTCGCGTCCCCCTCCCTCTCCGGCCTCTCCCTTTCGCCGGAAGGCGCCGTTGAGTGCGGCCGGGCGGGTTGAGTCAGCCCCGCGGCCCGGGCGGTTCCTCCAATGGGGCTGGACAGCGATTTCTGCTCTCGGGCCGCCCCGCCGCCGCGGCCCTCCGCACCCGGCCACCTCGGCGCCCTAGCTGGCGGGGCCGGGGCGCGCGTCCCGCGGGGCGCCGTGGGGGAGTGAGTTTGCAAACTTCCGGGGCGCGGGGGAGGCGGCCGGCGCGCGTGGGGGCCCCCTCCGGTGCTAGGGGCCCGACGCCTCCGGAGGGCGCCAGCGGAGCCTCCCGGGCCCTCTACGGAGGGTGAGCCCAGGGGCCGTGAGAGGAGCCGGGACGCCGGCAACGCGGTAACTTTCTTTCCTCTTCCCAGACTCGGGCCCGCGGACCGGGGAGGGGGCAGCCCCGAATGGGGAAGACTTGGTCTGGCCCAACGGCGCCCCGAGTTTGCCCACCTTGCTTTTTCTTAGTGCTGGGGAACTCAGGAAAAGCTTAGGACGAGTGTTGGGGCAACTCCCGCGAGTTGGTGTGGAAATGTGTGCAGTGAGCGGGCCCAGCCGAGAGGAAGCGAGAGCGCCCGAGTTTGCAAAGAGCTGCTTTGTGTTTGGTATTTTGAGAAAATGGCCGAATGCCTATTTCAGTCAGGAATGCCGCCGCCGAGGCAGGCGCTGGTGGCAGCCGCACATAGGAATTCGTGCAACACGTTGGGTTTCGGGCTGTGCATAGACGGCCTTCCTGACAAACGTGAAAATTCCTTTAGGGACGGTAGTTAGGGTTGGGGGGGTATTAGAAAAGTCGATGTTTGGGTAAATTGCCGAGTAGCCTGGGCTGTTAAGCCCTGGGACAGCTATGGCCCTCAGTTTGTTTCCTGTGATGGCATTTGATTCCAACTTTTGGTACATTATAACTCAGTCGGTTTGTGTTTATGCACATGGGTGAAACGGACTGCTTTTTGTGTTTGGGGTTTGATTTGATTTTTTGAGTGCTTGCCACTTATTTTGCTTTTTCTAATTTGCAAGACAGCGCTCAGTTTGAGAATAGCACCATTTAGATTGGAAAGTAACGTGCTTAAGGCGACTTTAAAAGCCCAACATGTTTTCAAGAAGGTGATCTTGTAATGGCTTCCACTAAGCAAGTAGGCCAAGTCAAGCACAATGCAAGAAAGTTGCTGATTGTCGGGTTAAGTTGTACGATTATTAGCGGTTTTGAAAGTTTCTTTATTTTCATTTGTGTAGTTTTAAATACACGGAGCTTCCTTTTTTTACAGAAAAGGTCCGCATTTTTTTTTTTCTTTTAAACAGGTCGAGTCATTAAAAAAAAATAAACTAAGTGGTACTTTTTCACAGTAGTTTATTCTTCTGGAGTTAGTTGAGTTCATAAGAAATTCAGTTCAGTTGACCAATTACTACAGGCTTCTACTTTCCAGACATGTTTATACTTAACAAATGCACAGTATGGTTTTTGGAGTTCTCCATTTTCTGACCAGTAAACTGTTGAAGGGGGGAATTGGGAGGACAGCAATTTACTATTCATGTGTTAAATTGAAAAATAATTTTAATTAACATTAAAAATGAGGTTACTTTTTTTTCCCACCAAAAAAATTAAAAAGTGCTTGAGGGAAGGCATGCCAGTGGTAGGCCTAGTTGATGGATGAGTTACGTCAAACAATTGATAGAATTTTTTGTAGGGGTAATAGAAACTTTTTTGGTGACTGCAATGAAGAAAATTTGGTAGTACAAAAATATTTCAAAGTTTAATTTTAGCAATTAACAAAGCTCATTGAATTTAAAGATTATATTTGAAAAGAATTTTTTAGGTTATGAAGAATTACAGCACTGTGTTGGATGTTGTGTTTAAACTGGTACTTTTTGCATTTTTTGTCTTATTTTGAATTCAGAGTACAGTCATGGCCACCCAGGTAATGGGGCAGTCTTCTGGAGGAGGAGGGCTGTTCACAGGCAGTGGCAACATTGGCATGGCCTTGCCTAACGACATGTATGACTTGCATGACCTCTCCAAAGCTGAATTGGCTGCACCTCAGCTTATCATGTTGGCAAATGTGGCCTTAACTGGGGAAGTAAGTGGCAGCTGCTGTGATTACCTGGTTGGTGAAGAAAGACAGATGGCAGAATTGATGCCTGTTGGAGATAACAACTTTTCAGATAGTGATGGAGAAGGACTTGAGGAGTCCCCTGAAATAAAAGGTGAACCCAGTGGACTGGAAAACATGGAACTGGAAAGTTTGGAACTCAGTGTTGTAGAACCACAGCCTGTGTTTGAGGTCTCAGCTGCTGCCCCAGAAATTTACAGCTCCAGTAAAGATCTTCCCCCTGAGACACCTGGAGCAGAGGACAAATGCAAGAACTTGAAGAGCAAACCTTTTCGCTGTAAGCCATGCCAGTATGAAGCCGAATCTGAAGAACAGTTTGTGCATCACATCAGAGTTCATAGTGCCAAGAAATTTTTTGTGGAAGAAAGTGCAGAGAAGCAAGCAAAAGCCAGAGAATCTGGGTCTTCCACTGCAGAGGAGGGAGATTTCTCCAAGGGCCCCATTCGCTGTGACCGCTGTGGCTACAATACCAATCGATACGATCATTATACTGCTCACCTGAAACACCACACCAGAGCTGGGGATAATGAGCGAGTCTACAAGTGTATCATTTGCACATACACCACAGTAAGCGAATATCACTGGAGGAAACACTTGAGAAACCATTTTCCAAGGAAAGTATACACATGTGGAAAATGCAACTATTTTTCAGACAGAAAAAATAATTATGTTCAACATGTTCGAACTCATACAGGTAAGAGTACCTTGTAGTCCCTAAGTTAAGCTCACTTTTGATAGTTAATTCAGTAGGCAGTTAAAGTAGTACTGAAGAAAGGGGATTCTGGGGTCAAGTTCTGGTTCCATAATTTGCTGTCTTTGTGACCTTGGATAAATCATTTAACCTCTTTGTGCTTCAGTTTCTCTCTCCATGGGGGTAATAACTATATGGGATTGGAGGATAAGTGAAGAACACTTATTTCAAAGAATGGCCAAGACAAATATTATCCATATTCTTGTTAAAATTTGTATTCTAACAACTTGGGATAGATACTTAGCTAAATTGGACTACCTTTTTTTTTTTTCTTTTTTTTGGCAAGGTGTATTTAGTTGATAGTGAATACATCTAAGATGCAGTATAGTTTCCCAAAGGAATTGAGGACTCAGGCAAAAAGGAAAACTCAATGATTAACCTTTGCATAGATCCATTTCAGAGAAGCCTTAAACTTTTAAAAAATTTGTCTTGGTATTGAGTTCCTAAGTGGAACAACTTAACCTTGTCTCCGAAACATAGAAATGTGAAAAGTTAGTTTTTAAAAGATTGGTGGGATTACCACACTTGAAATCATTTTCCTGAGAAAGCAAACACACATGTGGAAAACGAAGCTATTTTTCAGACAAAAAATTATGTCCTTCAGCATGTTTGAACTCATACAGGTAAGAGATTGTTTCTAGTTTGTAAGAGTACTCTTATCAGAAAAATGGAACAATGTTAAAAATATGAAAAATTTCAAACATCTCAAATACCAACATGTACCCATTACCTATATTCATTAGTTAATGATATTTTATCACATTTGGCAATTTTTTTGGTAAATATCAGCTTTATTGAGATATAGTCTACTACCACAATTCATCCACTTAAAGTTAAGATTCACTGGTTTTAGTATATTCACAAAGGTTGTGTAACTATCACCACAATCAGTTTTTAGGACATTTTCAACCCAAAAAGAAACCCTGTCTATTAGTGGTTGCTCCCCATTTCTCAGCACCCCTTAATCATTCAGTTTTTTTATTTTTTTTAAATTTTTTTTTTTTAAGTTTTTTTTTATTTAATTGACAGAAAGAGAGAGAGAGACAGAGAGAGAGGGAACACAAGCGGGGGGAGTGGGAGAGGGAGAAGCAGGCTTCCCGCCGAGCAGGGAGCCCGATGCGGGGCTCGATCCCAGGACCTGGGATCATGACCTGAGCTGAAGGCAGTCACCCAACCAACTGAGCCACCCAGGCGCCCCAATCATTCAGTTTTTTTAAAAGTAAGCTCTAGGCCCATTGTGGGGCTAGAACTCACGACCCTGAGATCAAGAGTTGCATGCCCCACTGAACTGACTGAGCTAGCCAGGCGCTCCAAGGAGTATGATTTTTTAAGGAAATGTTTGCAACTTATTGGTAGTTTTCTCATGTTACATTTTTTTTCTGCTAAGAATTGGTACCTTTGAGGACTGATTAGTGGTCTGAAGAAAATGGTTAGGGTAATTTAGTACAGTAGTCTGGATCACATGTAAAAAGGGGTTGTAGGATGCTGTTTGCATAAGATTCCTTTTGCAAGAGTTGTCACTCTGTAGGACTGAACCCCACAGGTAAAGTAGGGCACCGTGGGGAGGGCAATCAACAGTGCTTTACTGGAGTGGTAGACTTAATAAAACTTGCAGGTGAAATTCGGTTACAAGAAAGATGTCAGGGCACCTGGGTGGCTCAGTCAGTTGAGCGCCCGACTCTTGATTTCACCTCAGGTCACAATCTCTGCTGGTGGGATCAGGCCCTGCTTGGGCAGAGTCCGTTTGTCCCTCTCCCTCTGTCCTCCTGTTCCTCCCCACCTCGTGTTGGTGTGCGTGCGTCCGTGTGCGCGCCTGCGCGCACGCTCTCAAACTCAAAAAAAAAAAAAAAAGAGGAAGATGTCTGCAGCAAGATTTCTAAGCTCCAGGAGAATGCGCCAGTATTTTATATTCTATATATATATATATGGCTTTAAAATCTAGTCAAGTAAAAAAGTTTGTAGATCTTTGGGAATTTGTTTTAATCTGTGATTGTCTCCATGCTTTGAAACCATTTAGTTTCAAAAGTCTAGAAGTTCAAACATTACAAAATTACATGGCATAGGAAATCAAGTTACTTGGAAATCCTACCCCATTAATCACTTAATAGTTTGAATTAAACAGACTAAACTAACCTCATGTATAATATCTTAAAATAAATAAAATATCTTAAAATAAATCCTAGCTACTATATATACTTAAGCCATAATTACTTCATATTCATTTAACAGTTTTTTGAAAACCTCGGGGATTAGTTTAGATTGTGATCTGTAGAGCTTTCAGGTAGTAGCCATGGCATAACTTTTATCTGTATACTTTGATGAATTGTTTTAATTAATTAAGTATAGTAGATGACTTTTACAAATATATGTACTCATAACCACCGTGCAAGTCAGCATAGAGAATATGACCAACACCCTAGTGCTTTTGTCTTAATACATTTTGATTTTTTTTGTCAGCTGTATTTTGATAATTCATGTTTCCCAAAACTAAAAATGTTTTCAACTGTAAATTTAAATTTGTCAACTTAAGAGTATTTCTAGAACCAAAAAGAAAATGGAGAGAACTGGAAAAGCTTTTAAGTATTTTGTGTGTATTTCCAGTTTGTTTTTTGTTTTGTTTTGTTTTTCCAATTTTTTTATTAAAGTGTTTTTGTTTTGTTTTGTTTTGTTTTAAACAAGATCTCTTGAGGTGCCTGGGTGGTCTTGGGGTGCCTGGGTGGCTCAGTTGGTGAAACCTCTGACTTGACTCTCAGTCTGGGCTCAGGTCATGATCTCAGGGTCCTGGAATGGAGCCCTGCATCAAAGCTCCGTGCTCGGAGGGGGAGTCTGCTTCTCTCCCATTCCCTCTACCCCTACCCCTGCTTGCGGGTGCGTGTGCTCTTACTCTGTCTAAAATAAATAAATAAGTCTTTAAAAAACAAATACACACAACGGTGGGGGAAAAAAACAACTAAGAACTCTTGGCCATTTGAAATTTTTTTGTAGGGTGATTTATTTTATTTTTATTTTTTTTAGAGTAGTTTATTTTATTTTATTTTTTTAAAAGATTTTTATTTATTTATTGAGAGAGAGAGAGAATGGTAGAGAGAGAGCATGAGAGGGAAGAAGGTCAGAGGGAGAAGCAGACTCCCTGCTGAGCAGGGAGCCCGATGCAGGACTCGATCCTGGGACTCCAGGATCATGACCTGAGCCGAAGGCAGTTGCAAGCAACCTGAGCCACCCAGGCACCCTTAGAATAGTTTATTTTAATTGCAGTTTAGGTGACTGATTTTTAGTGGGTATATTTTTTATGCTTAACTGTACCATCCGTAAGTTTTTTTCCCCATTAATTTAAGGTTGATATTTTCACAGTAAGCTAACATTGGTTGTATGTATCTCATTTCACATTTTAGTGTTAAACTTGTGTGGTCTTAATACTTTCTGAAAATAATTTTTTTCTTCCTAATGTTATCTTTGTCATTTTTTATTTTTGGTAAGCTTTTTAAAACAATTTGGTAGTGCATACATTGGGAGGATAATATTTGAATGTTGTAAATTCTGAGTATCTCTGGTGATAAATGCATGGTTCTGAAAATTGTGTTTCTGGAAACAAATTCATTTAATGCTGAAGAGTAGAGTTAAGAAGTAATAGAATCACTTCTCATTTAAGTACCCTAGTTTTCACATTCACTTAATGGGTTTCTTCTGTTCTTTGAGTGGCCAGTGTTGGGTACTTCTATGCTAATCTGCAGAACAATCTATTGAGGAACTAAGTTATAATAGCCCATGTTTACTGAGAGGAAACCCTGAAGTGATGTGTCCAAGGTCATACATATACAACTAAGAGTCAAAGTTCAATTCTCTTTTTATGGGTAATTACCATGGTGGTGGGCTGAGGATTACTTTCATTTGAGTCTTCAAAGATTTTTAATTTTGTGGGTTTGATATTTAACCAGTTCACAAATTCTGGGCACCTGGGTGGCTCAGTTGGTTAAGCATCAGCCTTTGGCCCGGGTCATGGTCCCAGGTTCATGGGATCGGTGCCCTGCTCAGCAGGGAGTCGGCTTCTCCCTCTCCCTCTGTCCCTCCCCCTGCTCGTTCCCTCTCTCTCTCTCTCTCTCAAATAAAAAAAATTAAAAAAAAAGATCACAAATTCTGAAGGATGACATTTTTGCCACTACGTGTGACTGAAAATTCACTGTTTTCTAGAGTATTTATGCCTGTTCTGTAGAATTGCACAGATGGAAGCAATCTTTTATAAAGAATCCTTTATGTTTATCAATAATGGTATTTGATTTTTCTTCCATTAACTTTTCTTTCTGTGACAGCTTAATTGCGATACATTTTACATACCATACAGTTCACTGTGGATGGGCCCATTCTAGACATTTCACATAAATAGAATCATACAATAATAGATGGTCCTTTGTGACTGCCTTCTTTCACTTAGCATAATGTTTTCAAGGTTCCTCCATGTCCTATGTACAGTACTTGTTTTCCTTTTGTTGCCCAAAATAATCTCTTGTAGGGATATACCACATTTTGTTTATCCATTCATCAGTTAGGATATTTGGATTGTTTTCCGTTTTTTTGGCTATTGTGAATAAATCTGCGGCTATTGTGAATAATTCTGTGAACATTCATATGCAAGTTTGTGTAAACACGTTTTGTTTTGTTTTAAAGATTTTATTTATTTGAGAGAGAGAAAGCACATGAGATGGGGGAGGGCCAGAGGGAGAAGCAGACTCCCCGCTGATGTGGGGACTCGATCCTGGGACTCCAGGATCATGACCTGAACTGAAGGCAGTCGCTTAACCAACTGAGCCACCCAGGTGCCCCTAACACATGTTTTTATTTCTCTTGGATATATACAGTTGACCCTTGAACAATGCAGGGATTAGGGGCAGTCAAAAATCTGCACATAACTTTTGACTCCCAACTACTAATAGCCTGCTGTTGACCAGATGCCTTACCAATAACATAGTTGATTAACACATTTTATATGTTGTATGTATTATATACTGTATTCTTAAGCTAGAAAAAAAGAAAAGAAAATTCATGAGGGGGCGCCTTGGGTGGCTCAGTCGGTTAAGCATCTGACTTGATTTAGGCAGAGGTTCTGATCTCAGGCCCAAGGGCTCTGCACTCTGCCGGGAGGCTGCTTGGCATTCTCTCCCTCTGCCCTGCTCATTCTCTCCTTCAAATAAATAAATAAATGTTTGTAAAAGAAGAAAAAAATCCATGAGGAAGAGAAAATAAATTTACAGAACTCTATTGTATTTATTGAAAAAACAGGGCGCCTGGGTGGCTCAGTTGGTTGGGCGGCTGCCTTCGGCTAGGGTCATGGTCCTGGAGTCCCGGGATTGAGTCCCGCATCGGGCTCCCTGCTCGGCGGGGAGTCTGCTTCTCCCTCTGACCCTCCTCCCTCTCGTGCTCTCTATCTCTCATTCTCTCTCTCTCAAATAAATAAAATCTTCAAAAAAAAAAAAAAGAAAAAAGCATGTATAAATGGACCTGCACGGTTGAAACCCATGTTCAAGGGTCAACTGTTCCTACCTAGGAGTGGAATTGCTAGGCCATGTGGTAACTATGTTTAGTCATTTGAGGAACTGCTAAACTATTTTCCAAAGTGGCTGCACTATTTTACATTTTCACATTGTATGAGTGTTCTGATTTTTCCATATCCTAACCAATACTCTTTTTTTTTTTATTCCCCCACCCCCAACCAATACTCTTTAACATCTGTCCTTTTGATTATAGCCATCCTCATGGATGTGAAGTCTTCATTTCATTATGGTTTTGATTTGCATTTCCGTCATGGGTAAAGATATTGTGAACCTTTTCATGTGCTTATCTGTCACTTATATGTATATTTATAGGAATACATTCAACATTTTTTAAGCTAAAATTCTTCCAGGTTGAAGTAGGAATTCTTTTGGTGTGACCTATTTATAGCTAATCTATAGCTACCAACTAGTAACAGTGTACAGGTACTAGGAACACATTTCCTACTCATTACAGTATTCTTCCTCTTTTTTCACTTTGTTTTTTCTTTCCCTTGTCCATTTTATTAGACACATCTATTACTGTAACTTACTGTATAGACAAAATAATAACTTGTATTTATTGAGGGCTTTAGTATGTGCCAGGCACAATGTCAGATGTTCTGTGTGTATTATCTTAAATTTAAATTCTCACAATTCTAGGAAGTGAAGGCGCTTTTACTTTAACTGAGGAAACTTGCCCAAGGTCATAATTATTATCTTGTGGCCAAAGGCAGATGAAAACAAATTACAAATTGTCAAGCTTTTTTTTTAATTGCCAAGCTTTTTAAAAAAACCTGTTTTGTGGTTGACAAACCATACCCAAAAAATACACATTTCCTGCCATTATTATCCTCTCGTCTTCAGTTGCTGTCAGTCCTTAATGGCTTTATGAGCATGATTTGCCTTAACCAGTACTGATCTATTTCATGAAAGGTCTATTACTTGAAATTTTTAGCTTAAGCATCCTCACTCAAGTGTTCTTGCTCTTAAGCTAACAATTTCAAATGATAGATTTATCCTTCACAAGAATCAAAAATTCCAAGTGACAGCATGAGAAAATTTGGGTAGCTTTTTTCCCTAAGGGTAATTCTAATTAAAAAAAAAAAAAAAGGATGCTCCTTGATAACTTATCAAGATCATTATTCAGTTCTTAATATTTTATGTGATAGTATGTAGCATTACTGTGAAAATTAAAAGGGCTATGAGAATTCAGAAAGCCAGTGATCTTTTTTGTCAGCAAAGCTGAAATGTAGTTACTTGAATTCTGAATTAAATCATTTACATGTCTAATAATACCTGATAAAAAATTGACCATTTTGCCAGGAATAGTAAAAAGAATCCTTATCAAAAAAAATGCTCGGTACTGAATATTATGTATATTGTTAGTGAGAATTGTATTTCCCTTATTTTATCATAATTAAACCCTAATCATTATATTTTTGCAGGGGAACGCCCATATAAATGTGAACTTTGTCCTTACTCAAGTTCTCAGAAGACTCATCTAACTAGACATATGCGTACTCATTCAGGTTGGTAAGAAATGATAACCTTTCTATGATTTTTAGTAAACAATACATCAGTATAAGGAAGTTCTTCTAGACCTTTTATTTATTTATTTATTTAAAAATCAATTTATGATTTATTTTTAACATGATTTAGAAATTAGAGTTAAAAATCAGTGTTGTATTCATGTGGCGTTGTATCTCAATGTATGTTCTTAACGAGGAATCCATAGGTGGAACTCTTGAAACTGAATATAAATGTATGCATGCACTGTTTCTGGGTGGAAGGTCCATAATTTTCATCAGATCTTAAAGTTCTATGACTAATAAAACTTGAAATGCTGTTATAGACCAACACTGGTTCGTACGTTTCGAGCAACCCCTTACCTTCTCACCCTCTCCCCCACTCCCAACACAGTATAACACCAAGTTTCATAGTGTGTGGTTTCCAGGTTACAGAGATTCCTTCTTAACTTCTCAGGTCCTGAAATGTGGGTTTGTCCTCTTTTGAGAGCTGATAGGGCTTCTGTGGACTGATTTACAAAAGCCAAACTTTAAAGAATAATAGATAATCCAGGATCTCAATTTATTAACCTATAATAGATAAAATGCAGGACTGTAAATGCACTCTAATGAGTGAAATAATTGTGATCACTAGCCAGAATTGGTCCCCATTATCAAGGTAGGTAGATGGCAGAGTTAAAAAGTAAATATAGCATAGGTGGTCTTGAAAGGATAATTCATTTTGGCTACAATTAATGCTTGACCCTTGGTGAACCACCACAACTGATCAGAATACTCTACTTACAAATTTGGAATATATACTCGTGTAGGGAAACTATGCCAAAATCTTGGTGTTAACAGAAGTCTAGACTCGTCTCCCTTAGGTTAATTAATTGCCTGAAATTTGTGTAGACTGCTTGTGTATCCACTAGCCATGTAGTTATTAAGCTTGTGAAATGTAATTTGAAAAGTATAAAATACATAGCAGAATTCAAACAATATAAATAAAAGCACGGGGCACCTGGGTGGCTCAGTTGGTTAAGCGACTGCCTTCGGCTCACGTCATGATCCTGGAGTCCTGGGATCGAGTCCCGCATCGGGCTCCCTACTCAGCAGGGAGTCTGCTTCTCCCTCTGACCCTCTTCCCTCTCGTGCTCTCTATCTCTCATTCTCTCTCTCTACTGTGAAAAAAAAAAAAAAATCTTTAAATAAAAGCACGTAAAATACCTATTTTGGGGTGCCTGGCTGGCTCAGTTGGAGGAGCATGTGACTCTTCATCTCGGGGTCATGAGTTAGAGCCCCATGTTGGGTGTAGAGATGACTTAAATAAAACTTAAAAATTTTTTTTAAACTATTGATTACATGTTGACATGACAGTTATATTGGGTTAAATAAGTAGTAAAATTTAATTTTACCTGTTTTTTACCTTTGTAAATGTGACTACCAGAAAATTTAAAATTACATACATTGCTTGCATTTTATTTCTATTGGATATCACTGTTTTGAGTCAGTGATTGAGTAACATTTGATTATAGTACAGATTCTGATTTGAGCAGCTATGAAGGGGTCACATAATATGTTTGGCTAGCTTTTCTTCACCCTAAAGCTTGTCATTTTAATATACTTTGAATGTTCTTTCTAAATCTCCTAAGCTATTGAGCTGAGTCACTTAACCAGAAACCTGAGTTTATTGCTTAGGTACTTCTTGGTTTCATTTTCTGAGGGTAATTTGGATGCTCTCTCAGGCTTTGTTGAGGGTAGGCATCATGTTCTATTGATAGTTGTGTTCTAGCCCTTAAAACATTTAAGAGTTTTATGTGAGTTAACTAATTTTAGTCCTTTATAACTAACTATCCAATAATGTATAAGTTCTATTGCTGTCCCCATTTTACCAATGGGGAGACTAAACTAAGGCATTGAAGAAATGTGGCCATTTTTCCTGTAGAATGTCCCCCTTTCTGGATTTGTCTTACTTGCTTTCTTATGGTGTCATTTGGTTTTTCCTCTGTCCCTGTGCCTTGTATTACTTGTACACTGGAAATTAAAATATGAATGCTTGAATTCTACTTAATGTGTCTCATTTGAAGTCCTATCTGGTTGACCCACTATTAGTGTTGCTGGGTTACTGGATTAGAATGATGACATACTTGTATCTTTTTCATTGAATGGATAATACTTTTGTCACTGTTTAAGTGTCTTGTGGTGTTTTACACCAATCAATAACTTCTGCTTGAATAATTTTGTGTTTGCTAACTGTTGTCTTTTGAATCTCTTTGCTGTATTAAAAGATGATATTCAGTACTGTTACAGCAAGTATTTTAAAAGTCTCTTAATGAGTAGTAGCTACTATTTTCTTTTTAAAGATTTTCTTTTTCTTTTTTTTAAGATTTTATTTATTTATTTATTTGAGAGAGCGAGAATGAGAGAGAGAGCACATGAGAGGAGGGGACGGTCAGAGGGAGAAGCAGACTCGCTGCTGAGCAGGGAGCCCAATGCGGGACTCCAGGATCCTGGAACTCCAGGATCATGACCAGAGCCGAAGGCAGTTGCTTAACCAACTGAGCCACCCAGGCGCCCCATGAAGATTTTATTTTTCTAAATAATTTCTACACCCAGTGTGGGTCTTAAACTCACAACCCCAAGATCAAGAGTCACATGCCCTATCGACTGAACCAGCCAGGCACCCCAATAGTAGCTACTATTGTATGCCAGGTACTGAGAAATTGGGATTTGTTATCTTTAATTTTAGTAGTCCTTAAATACTTAATCCTAGTTTATGGATTAGGACACAGACTTAAGAGAGGATAAATGCTTTTATTGTGGTTAATTGTCATTCCTTTAAATCAGAAGAGCTGGGATTTGGCTTAAACTCCTCACCCCTCCCATTTTCAGTTATCAGCATGGTTAAAAGAAAATTATGGCTCAGAAAGTGGCTCAAGAAACTATAGCATAACGAAATTGGAACCACAGCGTATGGAGAGAGCAGAGACATGTCTTTTATTGGGTGCCAATAGTTTGAGTTGCAAACAGGAAGCAAACATGGTTAGTTTGTTTTGCGTATGAGTGTGCAATTATTTACAGAAGATCTTATGTTTTAATACTTTTAATCAAAGTTACTGATAGCACTTGTAAGTAAAGTGAGGATAAATTAGGTCAAATTGGATCAGTGAGGCTAAATTAGGTCAAACTGGATCGGTAGCCTTTTTTTTGAATGGGTTGCATGGAGTGAATATCTTGGGTGCCTTCTCTGTGGTCTGGAGTCTGATCTTTAAGGTCCCCAGGGGCTTGTTTGTTCCTGGTTCATGTGAGTGTATTTTAGAGAAGAAAATGTGCTCAGTCTCCTATTTTTGGAAGAGATTAGGCTCTGTGGAGTTGATACATTTTAGCTTAACTGACAGATTCGTTTTTAAAGCAAACCACAATGGTTATTTACGTAGAGCATTTCCAACCATAGGGTGGGGGTTTTTTTAGGCCAAATTAGGAAGGGATCAGAATGTTGATGAGGTGAAAAATTGACACCCTAAACTAATCTAACCTTATCTGGTGTTATTCTCCATTTTATTGGTGTTTCTCCCTAATAGTATTGCAGTATCCTTCACCTGGCTGACATTATCCACAGCTCTCCCTTTCTTATTCTCAATGGAAATGCTACCATTTCATCCTGAATGAAATATTTCGTTCTAGATGAAATACATCAAGTTTGTATTTGCTGTTAATGATAATATTTTATATAATGGCTAGTTCCCCATTCTGCTTGCATAGGAATTCATTTTGAATATTTTTTCACAATGAATGTAATGGATGCTTTTGTTAGAGGAGATTAACAACTTGCCAAGTTCTGCCTCATTTATTACTCTTTTTAAGATGGAAAATTATTTGTTTCAACCATAAGGTTATTTTCCTTTCACCAAGTATTTGATAATTATTATGGAGGCACTATTTTAATGGCTGGGCTTATTTGAAAGACATTATGGTTTGAGAGTCTTCATGAATTCTAGAATAAGTTTTCTTCCCTGTGTCTTTGCTATTTTATTTCTCATTTTAGTATGTCATGTCAAATTGAACTTACTACGCAGTTTGGGCTTTTTTTGTTCAGTAAACGTATTTTTTATTGAAGTATAGTTGATACACAATGTTACGTTAGTTTCAGGTGTATAGAATAAATTTTTAAACAGTATTCTATTGAGGTTCAATTTACACACATGAAAATGCATACATGTATCTGAAGCACCACAGGTCAGTGACTTCACGTGGTTTCTCCTGTTTGACTGCCCCCTAGAGGAAGACCTGAAACATTTCTACACCCTCAGAAAAGTTCCCTCCTTACCCTTTCCAGTCTACCCCCAACTGAGAGTCTGACTTCTATCAAAAAGAATATTATGACATTCTTCTGTAAGATGTTTTTGACATTCATCCCATGCTGCTTTATAAGAACTTTGTGTTTTTTTGCTAAGTAGTAATCAATTGTATGCCCCATTACGTTTTAAAAAGTCCCCTTGCTGTTCTTTCTGGATTCTTCTTGATAAAAACATGTAAAGTATGTAAAAATCTTTGCTCTTTTGAATTTGCTATATATTGGGAAGACTAAAATAGACATCTGACATGTTTATAAAGATGAAAAACATAGATAAATACTAGAATTGGAAAAGAATTAAAATCACTGATAAAAGGCAAAAAATATATATTTAACTAGATACTAATAGCCTGTATAGTTTTAATGCCTAGATCTAATACACAAGATTTAAAGGCAAGAAAATAAAATTGAGGGGGGGAAATGAATGGAGCAAGTAAATTTTGCCATCAAAATTTAAATAGATTTTTATGAACTCCCATTCTTTGACCATTTCATAGGTGGAGGCTTGCACTTTGATTGATGCTTGCTGTGTAAATACCCGCATTTATTAGGGGTTATACAATGGCAATATTTCCATTGTAATTCTTTTATTAGCACAAATATTTCTTAAAGATATAAACTTCATCAGCTGCTTGTTTACTCAGAGGTAGGGTTTAAATGGAAAGGCAAAATGAATCTTGCCTTTTGTTATCCATACTAAAAGTACCTGTTCCAAAAGTGATGATTTATAGGGAATGTATATGGACTGCTTGACTCTCTGTTCCATGCTAAGTGCTTTATATGGATTAAATTATTTATAGCTCATAACACTTAAAAGTATTTTTACAGATGAAGAAATTGAGCCTTAGAGAGTTTTCAGTACCTTACTCAGGATCTCACAATGAGTTGGAGAAGATCCCATATTTGATCCCCCAGGTAGTTCTTAATCATTATGCCACCTATTTTCCCCATTCTGTGTCTATATATGTTAAGCAAATGTTTGTCTCCACTGAGGTAATTCACTAGAGAAGACAAGATAGAGGCATTACTCTATTTATGAATCTGTTAGTAGTCTAACATGGAAAAGAGTTGTCCAGTTAGCTACACAACCAATCTAACCAGTCTGATATACCTGAATAAGTTGTTTCTGCGATTATTTTATCATCAGACATTTTCTAATCATGTAAAGCTTCCCATGGTTTTACTTAATGTCTGAGAAATTTGCTTTATGAAAAAATTAGATTTGATATGAATTTGAGAATGTTTCAGAGATGAATTTTCATAAATGTCAATTTCCATTTTTCTACTATGCATTCCATTGGACCAGTGGGGTATGGATACCATTTGGTAATATTTACTAGAGTGTGATCTAGATGGGTATGTATTCAGGTAGAATGTGTTAATCTTGTACCTTTAATTTTGGGGGTGGGGGTGGTTTTGGTTTTGTATGTACCTATGATCTGTGATCATGACTTTGTTCGATTATTTTACATACCATATCTATTTGTATGCCCTTTCTTATCTATGTTGTTTCTTTACCCATTTGTTAAAAGAAGGTAGGGAAAGATAAAAAGTTTCTGGCTTTGCTATGTTTTTGCTTTAAAATAGCAATTCTGGCATTGGACGAGTTTTTCTGAGTGAAGCTTGACTCTATCCTGCTGGGATGGACAAAAGGGTTAAATTTAAAGAAAAGGCCCTTTGTTCCCTGAGGCTAAAACTTTTACAACTTCTACATCTAAGGTCTGAGAGTATAACCTGGAGTGTAAGATACTTCTTTTGAAGTCTCAAGATTTATCTTAAAAATGTATGGGAATTATATATTCTACTCCATTGTCATTTGTTTTAACTAAAATAAAACATTTAAAATTATCTTTTCTCAAAAAAATAAAATAATAAAATAAAAAGTGCCCTTGCCCCAAAATTCACATCCAGAGCCCAACCAACTGTGCCAGTAATTGTTGTGTACTTCTTGATGATTCATTGTTCTCTTACAGTGTTTGAGAGCTCTAGCTTGATGAACTTTTTAGGAGAGGATGGTTAAATGAGGTCATTGTTCCTCCATTTGGTATGAGAGTCATTGTCAAGGGGTAGAGAAAAGATCTACAAATAAATATGGTAAATGTAAAGTGCATGATACAGTCTTTTCAATGAATAGCTTGTGTGTGTGTTTGTTTTAACATATCCAATTCCTTATATTTTAATAAGAGCTTGAATTCATTTCTTAATCTATGTTCTCTCTAACATCTCTTGTTTACCTTCAGGTGAGAAGCCATTTAAATGTGATCAGTGCAGTTACGTGGCCTCTAATCAACATGAAGTAACCCGCCATGCAAGACAGGTTCATAATGGGCCTAAACCTCTTAACTGTCCACATTGTGACTACAAAACAGCAGATAGAAGTAACTTCAAAAAACACGTAGAGCTACATGTTAATCCACGGCAGTTCAATTGCCCTGTGTGCGACTATGCAGCTTCCAAGAAGTGTAATCTGCAGTATCACTTCAAATCCAAGCATCCTACTTGTCCTAATAAAACAATGGATGTCTCAAAAGTGAAACTAAAGAAAACCAAAAAGCGAGAGGCTGACCTGCCTGATAACAATATTACCAATGAAAAAAAAGAAACAGAACAGACAAAAATAAAGGGGGGGGATGTGGCTGGAAAGAAGAATGAGAGGTCTGTAAAAGTGGAGAAGAAAGATAATGTTTCAAAAGAGAAAAGGTCTTGTAGTAATGCTTCAACTCAAGTGACTACCAGAACTCGCAAATCCGCAATGGAAACTAAAGAAATGGATGTGCATGCAGGAAATAATTCAGAAACAACCTGTAAAACCAAGAAAAGCAAAAGGAGGATGGAAGCTGAAGCCCATTCCTTAAAAGATCCTGTTAATGATGAGGAACCTGTGACAAAAAAGAAAAAGAAGGCAGAAAGCAAATCCAAAAATAGTCAGGAAGTGCCAAAAGCTGATAGCAAAGTAGAGGAGACTAAAAAGCAAACTACTTGCACGAAAAAAAGTACGAAGAAGAAAAGTCTGAAAAATAAGTCAAGTAAAAAAGGCAGCAAGCCTGCTCAAAAGGAGCCTGCTCAGAAGGGGCCTGTTCAGATGGAGCCTTCTCCTCCCAGAGGGCCTGCTGAGATGGAGCCTTCTCCTTCCAAGGGGCCTGCTCAGATGGAGCCTTCTCCTTCCAAGGGGCCTTCTCAGATGGAGCCTTCTCCTTCCAAGGGGCCTTCTCAGATGGAGCCGCCTGCTTCCAAGGGGCCTTCTCATTTGGAGCCTTCTTCCAGGGGGCCTGCTCACATGGAGCCGCCCCCTGCCATGGAGTCTGCTCAGATGGATGTTGGTCAGATGGAGCCTCCTCCTCCAGTGGAGTCTATTCAGATAGGGCCTGCTCAGACAGAGCCATCTCCTCCCATGGGGCCCACTCACCTGGAGGTTGATCAGATGGAGCCTCCTCCTCCCACAGAGCCTCCTCTTCACATAGAACCAAGTCCCAAAAAGTCTCCTCGAAAAGATAAAAAGGAAAAGTCCAACACGCAGAGTGAAATGGCACGGAAGGAGCAAGTCCTTATTGAAGTTGGCTTAGTGCCTGTCAAAGATAGCCAGCTTCTAAAGGAAAGTGCAGGTGCACAGGATCTCTCACCACCATCAACACCACCGCCAAAGGAAAACTTAAAAGAAGAGGAGTCAAAAGACCAAAAATTATTCACTGAAGGCGAAGGAAGCAAAGAAGCCCCTCTTCAAAAAGTAGAAGAGGCAGAGAAGAGTCTAGCTGGTCTTGCTGCTATTATCAAGGAATCTGCCAATATTTCATCCTCTGAACAAAACTTGACTATGCCAGAGGGTGAAATTTTAGATGTTAAGTGTCAGGCTGACGCTGTGCTTTGTGAAATGGAAATGGACACTGACAAGAACAAAACAGAGAATCCCCCTGGCAAAGACCCAGCAGTTGAAGAACCAGTTTCACCAGTGCTGCTTCCCCTACCAATAGAAAACCATGAAGCAGTGTCCAAAACTGCTGTGACATCACCTTCTGTCACTGTAGCAGTAAATGAGTCTCAGGAAATGGATGAAGATGAAGGCATCCACAGTCATGATGGAAGTGATCTAAGTGACAACATGTCAGAGGGTAGTGATGACTCTGGATTGAATGGGGCCCGGCCAGTTCCACAAGAAACCAACAGGAAAAATGCAAAGGAAACCTTGGCAGTCAAAGTGGCTGAGGGAGATTTTGTTTGTATCTTCTGTGATCGCTCTTTTAGAAAGGAAAAAGATTACAGCAAGCACCTCAATCGCCATTTGGTTAATGTATACTTCCTTGAAAAAGCAGCTAAAGGGCAGGAGTAATTAAACTTAGGATAAGGCTTCAGTTCTTAGTTTATAAGATCTATTACATTTAATATTCATTTATAGTTGTAGACAACCTTTTATTTTTTTAAATTGCTTTAATTAGTGTCCGATGTTGATTTTTAAGTGGCACTCTTTTCCTTAGGACTTTATACTTACTGATGGATAAATCTTAGCAAATCCAAGGAAGTTAGTGTACTAAACCAGCAGACACCTCAATCCGTTAGCTTATACATTTAATTGAAATGAGAAGGCCAAGGTGGTATTGTAGCATTCTGTTGCTTTGTCTGGCTGTAACTTGTCACTTTTCTTGCCATGTCTGTCTTCTTGTTTCACATTAGTTTTTTTCTAGTTCTTTGTTTAGTTCTATAAAAATTGGCATACTTAAATAGCAAATTACTTGAAGAATTTGCCTGCTTTATATAAAGTTAGCACTTTAAAATTTTTTTAGAGATGAGAAGAGACATTTAAATTGAAGAAAAATTCTCCCAACAGTGGACATTGTATCAGTCCAGGTATTTACTTCCTGAGTTTTGATCAATATTTCTTATTTGTGTATGTTAATCGTCATTATGATTTTGGTGTGGTTTTTTTTGTTTTGTTTTTTTCGTGGTTTTTTTTGGTGCTTTAATGGCTTAAGATGTTGCACATTGTTTTTTGTTTCTTTTTTTTTAACCTATGCAGTTCAATTTTTTTTTTAGAAATAGTATTTGTTGAACAGTAACACTTTATACATATATATGCATGTTTATTTTGTCCTCTTTGGAGGGATGCTTTTAGTCTTGTTTGCAAAAGGGCAGTTTTCTTTTTCCTTTGCTGCAATTGTCTTTTTTGCAGAATATTATTAGTGTGTGCAAATTTGTGAGCAAATGAAACATGCAGGTTCAATCCATTGATTTTGAATTTCACATCTTATATCTATGCCAGAATCTGTATTTCACGTAAGTTATTTATTTTAAAAGGATATAGTGAGTTCACAGCTCTCATTTTGACCTTTACAATAAATAAACCACTAGGCTCTATATTTAATGGATTTTTATCTCAGATACCAACCGTAAGTAAAAATTTTTGGCTTGTTTTAGTATAACTACTCCTAGATGTACAGTGTTAAGTCATATATATCTTTGAGGAAGACCTTTTTCCATAGATGGTTGGTGTCCATATGGCTACTCAGCTGAATAACGAACTGTAAGTGATATTTGGAAACTGCAAACCTGGAATTAGGAGACATAATTACTCCTTCAAGTTATACAGAATATCAGTTGTGAGATTCCAAAGCCATAGCAATTATACAGCAAACTAGGTTGAGAGAGGTAGTATGAGTGCTGGTAGACCAGCTGCTACTTTCTATGAATACAATGAAAAAGGCAGGTGAAACTTAAGTACAGTCCAGATTTTAAAAAATCACACTTTCTCAGGGATCTCCACAAACTAGTGGGTGTCCTGGCTGTCCCTGTGGCAGCCTCTTTCTACAGGTGAGGCCTCAGATGAATTGCAGCTATCCTGGTGTTCCTTTGGGGGCACTTTGTATTAAGAAAGAGTGTACTTCTAAAACTTTCTTGGTAGGTTCTTTGGCCAGTTGCCAAAGAATATGAAAGAATCCAACGGGATTTTCCTTGCTGATAGCAGTTAATTCATTTCAGTCAAAGTATGATCCCAGTAGGGAATCTTGGACAATTCTGATCCTCCCATATTCTGTTCTGAAATAACCACTTTATATTTCATTTATTTTCTTTTATCTGGTGATCTCTTTGAGGCAGGTATCAGAGTTTGGCAATGCAACATGAAAGATTAGGAAGAGCATTGATGAAGTGTGGGTGGAAAACTTGTTAAAAATCTGAGAGTGAAGTTTGAGTTAAAAGACATTTGAACTTGGAATTGACTGGGAGGCCAAAGATTTAAAGAAGAGAAGATTCTCTCAAGACATGAGGAGTAAGTTGTGTGTTAATGGTGTGTGTTTTGTGTGCATGAATGGGAATTTATAAATGATGTTGAATTCTAGATGAATTCACGGCTCCGACAATCATTGTCAACAGAAGATCAAGCTGCAAATATTTATGTTTTAAAACTTAAATTATAAAGCTAGTTAAATCTTTCTAACAACTAGTTTTAATGTTCATGGGTACATTTTATGTAAGTTACCTTTTACATTCTATATGAAAAGACTCATGTTAAGTACAGATTGGAGATTGGGAATCAGTTTGGGGAAGAGGTTTTGTGGATTCTTTCATGCTACAAAAGAAAAAAATTAGATTTCTGGGGAATTGGACTAATTTTCTTATCTAGTTTTTAAGGCTAGAATGCTAAAAACAAAGTATGAAGGAAATTAAAACCCCTTATTATTAAATTGATCTGTGAAAACATTGTTACTGGAAATTGAGTGGGACTTGAGGCCTTTCTTCCAGAAAACAAGGACTTGATTGTCAGGCCTATATTAGGTTCTGAACCTTAATGCCATGTGTTGTACTTATTAAAAATTGTTTCAATGAAAAATATATTAGTAATATGAACTTCTGGCTTAGTTGGGAGTTCTTCCATTTGAAAAATGTGATATTTGCATGGAACTGTTTGAATCTTTGTTTTCTCAGTTTCCCCTCCACTGGATAGAATTGAAACTAGAATTTTCCCTTTTGTTAAAGGAATAAAAAGTGAATATGTTATTTGTAAATTGATGTTTAGTAACTAGAGATAAACTTGAAATACTAGAATACATTATAAGCCTAATCCTAGGTAGTCTTATGAAAATGTATCTCTTTTATCTTCTGAACCTATATTCACATTGGTCTTCAAGATATCTTAAGTTATATTTTTTCCTCTTTTCAGAGCTGCTTCTTTGGGGCTACCTTTTTTTATTGAGGTGTAATTCATAAGGGGCTACATTTCTGATAAGCCTTCTTATAACTATGGCTGGATGTTTTGTTCTAGTCTTCCAAGAAGGGCCATTTTATTTTTTAGAGTTACTTCTAAAGTCATGTGGTCTTTAACTTTGGGGACTATTTTGCATATAAGTGCTAATGCAAATAAATTTAAACCCAAGTAGACCTCATCACATGTCACTCCATGAATGTTGACAATGGAAGGAATACCTTGCCTGTAGTATAATAACAGTTCTGGACTGAAAAGCTGGGGAAGAAACTTAATTTTGCATAAACCAGAAAAACACTTAGTGTGTGCAGTTTCCTTGTTGACCTCAGCAGATGAACTGATCTGATAGTGTTAATTCAGATTCAGTAAATTATCTGAATCTTGGTTTGTGTAGACTTGCAATCTACATGCAATTTCAACTAAATCAGATAGCTTTTACATTTTCACTTGTGTACATAGGCTCTCCCCACCCTTTCCAACATCCATTAGTTAATTGATCTTTGTAAACTGGCATTGAAACATTACAACAATGTTTTGTTGCACCAATTTTATAAACTTTTACAGTGCAATACGTGTTATTTTTCCGAGACAAACCAAAGGTTAATATCTCAAGGTTCTTGCTGCCTGCTTTAGCAGCGTTTGATGGGAGGATCTTTTATATACATTTGTAATAGATGAAAAATAAACCAGATTGCAAATCCTTTTTTTTTTTTTTAAGCTTAAACCATGTACCAAGTCTTTGGTCCAAATTGTGTAGGATAAGTTAAACTTAAATTGCATTCTATTAACCAATATGAGTGTATTTCTGTAAGCATAGTTATGTTGAAATAAAGTTTTAAAAAAGCATTTTATGCCTTTGTTTATTATTGGTACGTCAAGTATCAAAGAAACCAAATTTATTTTGCTAGAATTGCAAGTATATTAATTCTAAAAGTACTATGTCTGATAACCCATGGTAGGTAGAAAGGTCATGGCAATCTGTTGTTTGGAGTAACAGTCCAGTGGGTAGTAGTCCAGACCGTATCTTCCCATACTGTACTTTTCTGGGAGATGGAGGTCAGGGAGAAACAACCTGAAGACAGTTCATAGCATGCTTTACATAGTAATTACTGCTCAACAGGTTCCCGTAACAGCTATGACATAAATACCCTTTCTCAGTAGCAGGCCTGGTGTTAGTACATTTTGACTCATAATTGGAAAAAGATGCATTGAAGGGAAAATAAGTTGAGTTACACTGAGTGTTGACTGCCAAGGTACTGTTTTAAGCATTTTGCTGTATTTAATGAAACTCAAAGGAAAGTGATAAACCATCTTCTTAATAAGAGTCTGCTTTTTTTGTTAATGGAGGAATGTGTTTTAATGTGTTTTTGTTGAGTTGAAAAAAATGGGGGAGGGTGATGGAGAAACCTCTGGCTATGCAAAGCATCAAAACACCTGGATTGCATTCTGTCCAGATACAGCAAGTGACCTGGAAGGTCCTGAGTCCTAAAGAATGGATATTTCATATTGATGAGAGTGATTCACCCTCCAGCCTCTTTTGCAAGACTCCTTATTGGCAAAGGGCAAAATGAATTTCCAAGTGTTCATTTTATTTTTAAAGATTTTATTTATTTATTTGACAGAGAAAGACACAGCAAGAGAGGGAACACAAGCAGGGGGAGTGGGAGAGGGAGAAGCAGGCTTCCTGCTGAGCAGGGAGCCTGATGCGGGGCTCAATCCCAGGACCCTGAGATCACAACCCGAGCTGAAGGCAGACGCCTAACAACCGAGCCACCCAGACGCCCCCAGCATTTATTTTATTGGTATGGTAGAATCAATGACAAGGAGCATGAAAGTTTGCCCAACCAAGGATATGTGGGGAATTTATCTTGAATACATAAATGCTATTGTTGTCTGACTTGGTTTGTTATCTTTAATGAGTGAAGGAATGGTTACAAGTGTCTTTCTTCAGTCCCTTTCTACTTCTTTCCCAGGGGCTTACCCTTCTTATGATGTTTACATATGCCATACATTTACACTTGACCTGTTGACCATCTTTTTTTCTCCCCAGGTCTCAGTGAGGACTTGACTCTAATTTGTAGGTAGAATTACAGTGTAGTTGTGTGAGCATCCACCTAGGGTACTCCACAGCACTCATTCTCAGCTTCATAAAGGCAGATTGGTGAAGGTACTAAGAACAATGCGCTAGTGTTTGGTAATAAGAGAAAGTTTCAGTGTTAAGAAATTGCCTTTTCAAACGAGCACTGCATCAAGTGCTCTGTGGGCCTTTGAGTTAGAGCTGGGTTCACAATGGGCCTCTCTTCCTTACCACTATAAAATGGGCAAACCATTTTAACTTTACTGAACCTATTCCTTCATCTATAAAAGGGACATGGAATTTCTATCCAGAGAGGCTTTGAGTGTTATGTGCTTATTAAGGATTTAGCCTGGTGCTTGGTATATAGTTTTACTGGGACCTCTTTCATTACATGACAAACCAAGTAACTATCCTTAAATACATGAAGTCCTTCCTCTA